GCAAAGGGCAGGGATGGACACTCAAACAGGGGTCAGGGATGGACACTGGGATGGACACAGGCACCGTCGGCAGCGCCAGCAGCGCCACTGCCAGGGGCAAAGGGCACAGGTCAGCGGTGGACACTCGGACACGGGGTCAGGGGGCAAAGGTCAGGGATGGACACGGGGATGGACACAGGCACCGCCGGCAGCACCAGCAGCGCCACTGCCAGGGGCAAAGGGCACAGGTCAGGGGTCAGCCGTGGACACTCGGACAGGGGTCAGCGGTGGACACTCGGACAGGGGAGCAGGGGTCAGGGATGGACACGGGGATGGGGTCAGGGATGGACGCTCGGACAGGGGTCAGGGATGGACACTCGGACAGGGGTCAGGGATGGACACTGGGACAGCAGGAGCGCCAGCAGCGACACTGCCACAGGGCAAAGGTCAGGGATGGACACTCGGACAGGGAGCAGGGATGGACACTGGGGACACAGGGCAGGGGGCAAAGGTCAGGGATGGACACTCGGACAGGGAGCAGGGGTCAGGGATGGACACTGGGACATGGGTCAGGGGTCAGGGATGGACACTGGGTCAGGGGTCAGGGATGGACACTGGGACACAGGGTCAGGGGTCAGGGATGGACACTGGGATGGGGTCAGGGATGGACACTGGGGACACGGAGCAGGGGGCAAAGGTCAGGGATGGACACTGGGACAGTGGGCAGCGCCAGCAGCGACACTGCCACAGGGCAAAGGTCAGGGATGGACACTCAGACACGGAGCAGGGATGGACACTCGGACAGGGAGCAGGGGTCAGGGATGGACACTGGGACAGCGGGCAGTGCCAGCAGCGACACTGCCACAGGGCAAAGGGGAAAGGTCAGAGGTCAGGAATGGACACTTGGACACGGGGCAGGGCTGGACACTCGGACAGGGGTCAGCGATGGACACAGGGACAACGGGCAGCACCAGCAGCGACACTGGGACAGGGAAAAGGGCAAAGGTCAGGGATGGACACTGGGACACGGGGCAGGGATGGACACTCGGACAGGGGTCAGCGATGGACACTGGGACAGCGGTCAGTGCCAGGGTGGACACTGAACTCAAAGCTCAAGGGGCTCCAGACACAACCCACAATTTTCCCCACATTCCCGACATTTTCCCCCTCATTCCCAGTATTTTTTTCACATTCCCGGTACTTTCCCACATTCCCGGTATTTTTCTCCACATTCCCGGTATTTTTCTCCACATTCCCGGTACTTTTCTCCACATTCCCGGTATTTTTCTCCACATTCCCGGTACTTTTCTCCACATTTCTGACACTTTCCCCCTCACTCCCGGCTCTCTCCCTCTCACACCCGATTTTCCCCTCACTCCGGGCACTTTTCTCCACATTCCCAACACTTTTCTCCTCATTGCCGGCCCCTTCTCCCTCACACCTGTAAAGTTTTCCTCATTCCCGGTATTTTCTCCACATTCCCGGTATTTTTCTCCTCATTCCCGGTATTTTTTTCCTCATTCCCGGCCCTTTTCCCCTCACACCCGACACGGCCCCCTCTCATTCCCAACACCTTCCCCTCACAATGGACACTTTTTCTCTCACACCTAACACTTTTTCTCTCACACTCGGCACTTTTTTCCACATTTCTGACACTTTTCCTCTCACTCGCGGTATTTTTCTCCACATTCCCGGCACTTTTTCCCTCACACCAAACACTTTTTCCCTCACACCCGCCCGTCTCCTCTCACCCCGGCCCATCTCCCCTCACACCGGGCACTTTTCTCCTCACACCCGGAACATTTTTCCCTCATTCCTGATATTTTTCAACATTCCCAACATTTTTCCTCTCACTCCTGCTATTTTTCTCTACATTCCCGGTACTTTTTCCCTCACACCAAACACTTTTTCCCTCACACCCGCCCGTCCTATCTCACCCCGGCCCATCTCCCCTCACACCGGGCACTTTTCCCCTCACACCCGGCACATTTTTTCATCATTCCTGATATTTTTTCCACATTCCCGACACTTTTCCCCTCACACCAAACACTTTTCTCCACATTAACGACACTTTTCCCCACATTCCCGGCACTTTTTCCCTCACACCAAACACTTTTTCCCTCACACCCGCCCGTCGTATCTCACCCCGGCCCATCTCCCCTCACACCGGGCACTTTTCTCCTCACACCCGGAACATTTTTCCCTCATTCCTGATATTTTTCAACATTCCCAACATTTTTCCTCTCACTCCTGCTATTTTTCTCCACATTCCCGGTACTTTTTCCCTCACACCCCCCCGTCTCCTCTCACCCCGGCCCATCTCCCATCACACCGAGCACTTTTCCCCTCACACCCGGCACCTTTTTCCCTCATTCCTGATTTTTTTCAACATTCCCAACATTTTTCCTCTCACTCCTGCTATTTTTCTCCACATTCCCGGTACTTTTTCCCTCACACCCCCCCGTCTCCTCTCACCCCGGCCCATCTCCCCTCACACCGGCACTTTTCCCCACATCCCAGCACATTTTTCCCTCATTCCTGATATTTTCTTCTCATTCCCAGCACTTTTCCCCTCACACCAAGCACTTTTCTCCACATTAACGACACTTTTCTCCACGTTCACGGCACCTTTCCCCTCACACCGGGCACTTTCCCCCCATTCCCGGCCCTTTCCCCCCATTCTCGGCGCTTTCCCCCTCATACCTGACACTTTTCCCCCCATTCTCGGCGCTTTCCCCCTCATACCTGACACTTTTCCCCCCATTCTCGGCGCTTTCCCCCTCATACCTGACACTTTTCCCCCCATTCTCGGCGCTTTCCCCCTCATACCTGACACTTTTCCCCCCATTCTCGGCGCTTTCCCCCTCATACCTGACACTTTTCCCCCCATTCTCGGCGCTTTCCCCCTCATACCTGACACTTTTCCCCCCATTCTCGGCGCTTTCCCCCTCATACCTGACACTTTTCCCCCCATTCTCGGCACTTTCCCCCTCATACCTGACACTTTTCCCCACATTCCCGGTATTTTTCTCCCTCACACCGGGCACTTTTCTCCACATTTCCAGCACTTTTCTCCTCGTTTTCAGCACTTTTCTCCACGTTCCCGGCACTTTTCCCCTCACACCGGGCACTTTTCCCCTCACACTACACACTTTTTCCCTCACACTTGATCCTTTCCCCCATTCCCGGCACTTTTTCCCCTCATACCTGACACTTTTCCCCTCACACCGGGCACTTTCCCCCCATTCCCGGCACTTTTCCCCTCACACTGGGCACTTTTCCCCTCACACCGGGCACTTTTCCCCTCACACCGGGCACTTTTCCCCTCACACCTGACACTTTTCCCCTCACACCGGGCACTTTTCCCCTCACACCGGGCACTTTTCCCCTCACACTACACACTTTTTCCCTCACACTTGATCCTTTCCCCCATTCCCGGCACTTTTTCCCCTCATACCTGACACTTTTCCCCTCACACCGGGCACTTTAATGGAGTAGCCCAATTATGGGTCCTAAAGCTGAATCTTGTATTTATTTCCTATTCTACATTACTGAAGGAGAAAAAGCAAGGATATCAGAATGTAAACCCAGAGCTAGCTGGAGTTAAGCAAGCAACCCTAACCCAAACTGCCTGCCTCCACAAACAGTTCTGGAAATGAATTTGTTGCTGACAGGTGCTGCCACTGTAACCCAGAACAAAGGATCTAGAAGCCCATGCAGTCTCTCACACACAGAGCAGCTCTTTTGCTCATGATTCAATCCAGCACTCTGCATTACCCTGCCAGCTATTTCTCAATTCAAGCACAGCCTCAGCAAGGTGAAATAAAGGCAGCTAAAGAAACAGGACATAAAAGCACATAGAAAAATGCACTAGACAAAAACAGCTACATTATTCAGTTTTGTAGCATCTTCTGAAGCTACTTTCAATTATCTCACTGCTCAGTCTTCCAAAGCCACTTATACAACTTATACATGGCACAAGTGCTTGTGTAAGAGACAATAATGATCTGGTTGTATCTGAGTAACTCAAATGTACTTAAAACTTACAGCAAAGAAGGAGGAAAAGTTTACAAAGCAGAAAGTGTTGACATGCAGGAAACGTACAACAACAATAAAGGAGGAGGTAATATGGAAATGACTGAAAAGGAGAAACTGGACTTGAAAGGAAAACAGAACAATTATTTTTGTGTACATAGAAAAGAAAACTATTCTAGATAAGAAAAGCAGGGAGTGGGAACTGGAAGGAGGGGGCACAGAGAGAGCGGGGAAGGGAGAGGGGGAGGGACGGGGCGCGCGGGGGGTGATGGGAGGAGGGCGGGGCCTGCGGGTGATTGGCGGGCGGCGCGTGAGGGGAAAGGGGCGGGGCGATCTGTGATTGACAGGTGGTGCGTGAGGGGAAAGGGTGATTGACAGGGCTGTGATTGATTGATTGATTAGAAAGGGGCGTGGCAATGGGTGATTTATAGGAAGGGTACCCTTGGGTGATTGACGGGGATATGGGTAATTGATCGATTGATCGATTGATTGACTAAACAGGCAAGGAGTGATTGGTTAGGCAATAATTAATCAATTGATAATTTGATTGATTGATTAAAAAGGAGCGTGGCAACAGATGATTGACAGAGCTGTGGGCAATTTATTAATTGGGAAAGGGGAGTGACAATGAGTGATTGATTAGGCAAATATTAATTGATTGAGGATGGGATGAAAAGGGCGGAGCCATGGGTGATTACCAGGGAAATTAATTAATTGATTGATTAATTGATTGACAGGCAGAGCATTAAGTCGAACACAAAGGGGCGGGGGCAACGGATGATTGACAGAATAAATTACACGGAAGTGGGTGGGGCATCGAATGATTGACAGCACCGAGGCTGATAGTTAATACATTGTGGGCGTGGTCACACCCTCAGAAGGGGGGGACAACAGCTGATTGACAGTCTAGGGGGCGCGGCCAACGAAACCTCGCGAGATTTCCCGAGATTTGCCCCCGTTCCCGTCCTTTCCCCCCCCCCGCCAACATGGCGGCGCACGCCGGGCCCCCCCCCGAGCCGGACATGTCGCGACAGTGGCGACAGTCGTGGCCTCGCCTCGATCCCGACAGCTCCGAGTATTTCCAGAGGGCCCTGGAGACGCTCGAGGAGGGGCTGAGCGAGGAGGAGCTCGGTGAGGGGGGGTTTGGGGGTCCCTGAGGGGGTTGGGAGGGGGTTATGAGGGAATATGGGGAGTTTGTGAGGGGGGTTTATGAGGGGTTTTGGGGGTCCCTGAGGGAATTTTGGTGTTTATGAGGGGATTTGGGGGGTTCCTGAGGGGTTTTGGGGCGTTTATGAGGGGTTTTGGGGTTTATGAGGGGATTTGGGAGAGTATATGAGGAGATTTTGGGGTTTATGAGGGGATTTTGGTGTTTATGAGGCAATTTTGGGGTCTCTGAGGTGATTTTGGGGTTTATGAGGGATTTTGGAGGAGTTTATGAGGGGTTTTGGGGTTTATGAGGGGTTTGGGGTGATTTATGAGAGAGTTTGGGGGGGTTATGAGGGATTTTTGGCGTTTCTGAGGGGATTTTGGGGTTTATGAGGGGATTTAGGGGGGTTTATGAGCGGTTTGGGGGGAATTTGGGATTAATTGCTATTTTGTCACTGCTAACCCCCACTTGGTTGTGTCTAACTCCCATTTTTTGTGTCTAACCCCCCTTTTTCACCTCCTAACCCCCATATTTTTCAGTTTAACCCCCATTTTCTCACTCCTAACCCCCTTTTTTATGTGTAACCCCCATTTTTTGGGGTCTAACCCCCATTTTTTGGGGCTTAACCCCCATTTTCACACTCCCAGCCCCCATTTCTTCATGTCTAACCCCCATTTTACCATCTCTAACCCCCATTTTTTCGTACCTAACCCCCATTTTCTCACTCCTAACTCCCATTTCTTTGTGTCTAACCCCCATTTTTCCTCTTGTAACCCCATTTTTGGGTTTGCTGGGCGGCAGCAGGGACGCAGGTGAGGGAAAATTTGGGGATTTTGGGGGGAAATTTGGAGATTTTGGGGGGATTTGAGGAGGTTTGGGGGGGATGAGAGGAATTTTGGGGGATTTTTGGGGGTTTTTGGAGGTTTTTGATTATTTCCCCCCCCAGTCCCTCCCCCCAAGGGGGCGGAGCCAAAGACAAAGAAGGAGGGGCTAAAGGAAAAGGAGGCGTGGTCACTGCCAAAGGGGGCGGAGCTTCCGGCCTCGTTCCGCCCCCTGCTGGAGGAGCTGGCCCAGGGGCTGGAGCAGCAAATTCCAGGTGAGCAAAAAACCCCAAAAATCACCCCAAAATCCCCCTAAAAATCCCCAAAATCACCCCAAAATCATCGTAAAAACCCCAAAAATCCAAATAATCACCACAAAATCACCCTAAAAATCCCAAAAACGCCTCAAAATCAGCCCAAAATCCACCCCAAAATCATTGTAAAAATCCCAAAAATCCAAATAATCACCACAAAACCCCTAAAAATCACCCCAAAATCACCCTAAAAATCCCCAAAATCACCTCATCACCCCAAAATCCCCCTAAAAATCCCCAAAATCACCCCAAAATCATCGTAAAAACCCCAAAAATCCAAATAATCACCACAAAATCACCCTAAAAATCCCAAAAACGCCTCAAAATCAGCCCAAAAACCCCAAAAATCACCTTAAAATCACCCTAAAAATCCCAAAAATCACCTCAAAAACCCTAAAAATCACCCCAAAATCACCCTAAAAATCCCCAAAATCACCTCAAAATCAGCCCAAAATGACCCCAAAATAACCCAAAAATCATCATAAGAACCTCAAAAATTCCAATAATCACCCAAAAATCACCCCAAAATGATCGTGAAAACCCCAAAAACCCAAATAATCATCCCAAAATCAACTTAAAAACTCCCAAAATCACCACAAAAACCCTCAATATCACCCAAAAATCACCCTTAAAATCCCAAGAATTGCCTCAAAATCAGCCCAAAGACCCCAAAAATGACCCCAAATAACCCAAAAATCATCATAAGAACTCCAAAAATTCAAATAATCACCCAAAAATCACCCAAAAAACTCCCAAAGTCACCACAAAAACCTCCAAAATCACCCAAAATAACAAAAAAAACCACCCAAAATCACCCCAAACCCCCAAATTTCTCCAAAATCCCCAAATTTCCCTTTAAAATTCCAAAAATTCCCACATTTTCTCCCAAAAATCCCCAAATTTTCCCCTAAAATCTCACACATTTTGTCCAAATTGCAGGATTTCCCCCCCAAATTTTCCTCAAAATTCCCAAATTTTTAAAATTCCAAAAATTCCCACATTTTCTCCCAAAAATCCCCAAATTTTCCCCTAAAATCTCACACATTTTGTCCAAATTGCAGGATTTCCCCCCCAAATTTTCCTCAAAATTCCCAAATTTTCCCCAAATTTCCCCAATTTTCCCCAAATTTTCCACAAAGGTCCTAAATTTTCCCAAAATTTCCCCAAATTTCCCCCAATTTCCCCCCAATTTCCCCCCAATTTCCCCAAATTCCCCAATTTTCCCCAATTTCCCCCAATTTCCCCAGAGCTGCTGACCCCGCCCTGCGCCAGCCTCTGCCTGCAGGGGGCGCTGTCAGCCCTGCACCGCAGCCAATCGCCTTCCTGCGCCCGCCTCTGCCGCGCCCTGATTGGCTGCCTCAGCCAGGACAGCCCCGCCCACGACCAGAGGTCAGTGCTGATTGGCCGGGGGATCCCGCTGCTCTTTTCTCATTGGCGACGCCCCTTCCTGTGATTGGCTGCTGTCTTCCCAAATTTGGGGGAACCAGAGTTGCCACTCCCTGATTGGCTGCTCCTCTGGATCCCCCCTCTCTGATTGGCTGTGCCCTGTGGGTGCTGTGCTTTGATTGGCTGCTGTTTGCAATCCCTCTTCTCTGACTGGCTGTTGCTCAGGATCTCTTTTCTCTGATTGGCCCGCTCACTCAGTCCTTTTTCTCTGATTGGTCACTGTCCTTGATCCTTTTTCTCTGATTGGCCGCTCCTCTGAATCTCTTTTCCCTGATTGGCTGTGGCCATAACCTCCTCTTCTCTGATTGGCTGTTGCTCGTGATTCCTTTTTTCCAATTGGCCGCTGTTCTGGATCCCTTTCCTCTGATTGGTCGCTGTCCTTAATCCCTCTTCTCTGATTGGCCGCTCCTCTGGATCCCCTTTCCCTGATTGGCTGTGACATCCAGCTCCTATGCTCTGATTGGCCACTTCTCTGGATCCCTTTTTCCTGATTGGCCGCTTCCCCCGATCCCCTTTCTCTGATTGGCCCAGCCCTCTGCTGACGTCACTGCAGGACCCCGCCCGCTCCCGCCTCCTGGAGGCGGCCATGACGGTCCTGGACCCCCCGGGGCTCCGCGAGCTCTTCCGGGGTCACCTGCGGGGTCACCTGAGGGGCGTGGCCTGCCACCGCGTGGCCAATCACGGCCTGCAGCGCCTCCTGGACCACGCCCCCGAGGACGTGGTAGGCGGGGCTGGGCTGGGTGGAGCTTTGGGGGCCGAGTTTAAAAGGGATTTATTTGCATATGTAAATCAAGGGCTGGTCTTAAAGGGGATGGGTCTGAAAGGGGCGGGGCCTAAATGGGAGGGGTCCAACTGAGGTGATTGGCTGGGAAATGGGGGTGGGGCTTAAAGAGGCGGGGCCTAAATGGAGGCGCTCATTGGTTGGGAGGGTGGTGGGCGTGGCTTAGTATGTTTGGAGGGGGTGGGGCTTTAAAATGTTAATTAGGGGCGGGTGGGGCTTAATTGGGTTCATGAAATGGGCGGGGCTTGAAGGAAGAATGTCATTGGGTGGTGGGAGGGGCCTGGAGGAGTGGAAAGTTAAGTGGGAGGGGCTTAAAGGGGATGGGGATCAAATGGGATAATTTGATTGGCTGGGAGGGAAGGAGGTGTGGTTTAAAGGGGTGGGGCTTAACGAGGAGGGGCTTAAAGGGGGTGTGGTTTACAGGGAGCTTCCTATTGGTCAGAAATGTGGTGGGAGGGGCTTAAATACCTGAAAACCGAAAGGGGTGGAGCTTAACTGAATTATTTGCCTGGGAACGACTTCCTGATTGGCTGGTGTGAATCTGTGGGCGTGTCTAAGGGAGGTGGGCGTGTCCCGGCAGGCGCAGGAGGTGCTGTCGGAGCTGGGCCCCGCCCTGCAGGAGCCGCTGGCGCGGGGTCACGCCGGGGTGGTGCTGGCGCTGCTGGGGGCGGCCCTGAGGCACCCGCGGCTGCAGGGGGAGACCCTGCGCCACCTCTTCCAGGTGGGACACGCCCCTTCCGCGCAGGCCACGCCCACCGAGTGATAAACCACTCCCGATCCCTGATAAACCACTCCCACTTTGTGATAAACCATTCCTGCTCTGTGATAAACCACTCCCACTCCGATAAACCACGCCCACCTTGTGATAAACCACACCCACTTTGTGATAAACCACTCCCACTTTGTGATAAACCACACCCACTTTGTGATAAACCACTCCCACTCTGATAAACCACGCCCACTTTGTGATAAACCATGCCCACTCAGATAAACCACGCCCACTCTGTGATAAACCACTCCTACTCTGTGATAAACCACTCCCACTCGGATAAACCACTCCCACTTTGTGATAAACCATTCCTGCTCTGTGATAAACCACTCCCACTCTGATAAACCACACCCATTTTGTGATAAACCACGCCCACTCCGTGATAAACCACGTCTGTGATAAACCACTCCCACTCCGATAAACCACGTCCACTTTGTGATAGACCACGCCCACTTTGTGATAAACCACGCCCATTTGTGATAAACCACTCACACTGTGTGATAAACCACGCCCACTTAGGTAAACCACTCCCACTTGGTGATAAACCACACCCATTTTGTGATAAGCCACTCCCACTTGGTGATAAGCCACGCCCACTCTGTGATAAACCACTCCCACTTTAACCACCCCTTTAATCCCACCCACACTAAGCCCCGCCCTTTCCCCTTAAGCTCCTCCCCTCCCCCTCTAACCATGTCCCTAAGCCCTGCCCCTTCTCCATTTGCATCTCTAAGCCCCGCCCCTTTCCCATCAGGCCCTGGGCTGCTGGGCCCCGCCCCTCCACCCCCATTGCGTCACCGCCCTGGCCCAGCTCCGCCCCCTGGAGGGCGGGGACAGCGAGGAGGGGGCGGAGCCTCAGGTAAAAGGGGCGTGGTTAGGGAGAGGGGTGTGTGAAGGGGTGGGGTAAAGTGGGCGGGGCTTAGGATGTGGGGTTATAGGGGCGGGGCTTGAGGTGTGGGGTTTAAAGTGGGCGGGGCTTCGGGTGTGGGGTTAATGTGGGTGGGGCCTAAGAGGGTGTGGTTAAGGGGGCGGGACTTGGAAGGGGAGGGGCGGGGTTTCCATTTTTTTTCTGATTTGACTTTAACTTGATTTTTTTGTTTTCTTTTTCCTGTTTTTCTCCTTTTTCCCTTTTTTCTTTTATTTTCCTCTCATTTTTTTCCTTTTCTGCTCTCATTTTTTCCTTTTTCCCATTCATTTTCCTCTTGTTTTCTCCTTTTTCTCCCATTTTCCCCCCATGTTTTCCACATTTTTCCCCAATTTCCCTGGTTTTCACCCATTTCTCCCCCATTTTCTCCCAATTTTTTCCCTTTTTTCTCTCCATTTTCCCCCCATTTCCCCCATTTTTCCCATTTTCCCCCCATTTTTTCCCCATTTCCCCCCCATTTATTTTCCTTTCCCCCCCACATTTTATTTCCTCACTTTCCCGTTTTCCCCCCATTTTTCCCCCAGCCCCCCCGGCTGTCCCCGTGGGGGTCCCGGGCGCTGCAGCTGCTGCTGCACTTCGGGGACCCCTCCCCAGTGCTGGGGGCGCTGGGGGCGCTGCCCCCCCCGGCGCTGCCCGCGCTGGCCCGCAGCCCCCCGGGCAGCCGCCTCTGGGACGCCCTCCTGGGGTCCCCCCGCGTCCCCAAAGCCGCCAAGAAACGGCTCCTCAAGAGGCTCAAGGTACCCAAAAAATGGGAAAAATGGCGATTTTGGGCAAAAAATCAGATTTTTTTAGCAAAAAAATCCGATTTTTTAGTGAGTAAAATCTGATTTTTTGGCAAAAGTAATCCTGATTTTTAATTTAAAAATGTCAACTTTTAAGTCAAAAATTACAATAGTATTTTAGCAAAAAAATCCTGTTTTCTCAGAAAAAAAAAGGGGATTTTTGACCAAAAAATTGGATTTCTTTGCAACAAAAATCTCAGCTTTGGGGAAAAAATATCAGAGTTTTCAGCTAGAAAAATCACACTTTTTCAAAAAACAATGGGATTGTTTTTCAGCCAAAAAAAATAATATTTTTTCTTTGCAAAGAAACCCATTTTTGAGTTAAAAAATCTGATTTTTAAAGGTTTTTTTGCGGTGAAAACTTGAAATTTTGTGAGAAACAGAATGGGGATTTTCAGTGAAAAAAGTTCTATTTTTAAAGGGTTTTTCCAGGATTAAAAACTGGGATTTTGGGGGGAAAAATCCCAATTTGCAGCAATAAAAAATGTGATTTTGGGGCTGGCCCGCAGCCCCCCGGCAGCCGCCCCTGGGACCCCCCTGGGGTCCCCAAACGTCCCCAAAGCCGCCAAGAAACGGCTCCTCAAGAGGCTCAAGGTATTCCAAAAATGGGAATTTGTTTTGGGGTGAAAAATGGCCATTTTGGGCAAAAAATCCGGTTTTTTTAGCAAAAAAATCCAATTTTTTTACTGAAAATTTTGGGTTTTTTTAGTGAAAATAAAGATATTTTTTACTGAAAAAAATCCCTTTGTTTTAGCAAAAAACTTTTTGTTTTTCAGTAAAAAAATTGAAATTTTTTGGGGGGAAAAACGGTGATTTTGGGAAAAAAATACGATTTTTTAGCAAAAAAATCTGATTTTTTTAGTGCAAAAATGTGGATTTTTAGGGAGAAAAAAGGGATTTTTTGATGAAAAAAATTGCTGTATTTTAGCAAAAAGGTTCTGGTTTTCCAGTTAAAAAAATTGAAATAATTTTTTAGGGAAAAACCAGATTTTTTTGCAAAAAATGGGATTTTTTTTTCATTAAAAATGGGATTTCTTTTTAGTGGAAAGAATTGAATTTTTTGCAAAAAAAACCCTTGGGATTTAGGTAAAAAAAATTCGAATTTTTCAGTTAAAAAAATAGAATTATCTTCCAGAAAAAAATCTGATTTTTCAGCAAAAAAAGTCTAATTTTTAGGATAATTTTGGGGTAATTTCAGGAATATTT